TTCCCCAGCCAGCCATGGCTGGCTGGGGAATTCTGGGAGTTGACGTCCACACACCTTAAAGTGGTTGAGGTTGAGAAACAACTGCTGTACATTATGAGGGAGCAAGATAAGCCACAGTAATGTGTTTTAACACCCAGATAAAGTGCCACCTAGTGATTAAACTATATAATGACACTATCCTGATATTAACATCTTTTACGCATTGTCCCTCCAGAAGCTTTTCCACTCAGGAAGAAAAAATGCAGGACCCCATTTCTCCATGCAGGCAGAAAAGCAGCTTAGGGTAGCCGTTTTGCATGGAAACTTTTCCTCAGAGGAAAGGGCTGGTAGCCGTCCTTTCTGCTGATTTTCTGCTCGCTATTGTAGCTCACAACAAATTGTTTTTGACTGACATGTTACTTCTTATATCATATTTTTATCTTTTAACACACAAAGTAGCTAATGAAACCTAGGATTGCATTCATGCATCACATTAACTGTGTTGAATAAGCTGCAATGGCTGAATTTACATATGACCCTAAGATGCAAACCAAGGTTTACAAACTGGAATAGTTAGATTCACCCCATATGCCAACCAGAAGTAAATAAACCATATTATGGCTTAGTGCAATGTGCAGACTCAGCTGATAAGAATCAATGACAAGCCATATTGAAGTCAAAATGACATAAACGTCGTGATACTATTGCTCAAATGACATGATTTTGTGATTGTATCATGCTGTCTGACACAAGCACAAAAGCTGTGTCATTCATACGAGGAGGTGTCATGAGCATGTCAAAATTTTATTGATTTTGTATTTATATATCAAATTTGTCACCGCCCATCTCATTAAAATGACTCTGGGCGGTTTACAAAGCGGTTAAAATCAATTAAAATTACAGTATACAATAATCCTAAATAAATAGAGGATAAATAATTTGCCCTTCTTTCCCTCTTCCAGTTGCCTAGGACTCAGGTGCATTTTTGTAGATGAGCATAGTGTTCATGGCTTGTTTGTCTTATCCAAATCTTTGCTTGTTTTTCTCCTTTTATTTAGTTCCACCCACATAGTGAAACCCACATAGGGAATTGGCAGTGAGTTTATACACACTTGCTATGTATATCCTGGTAAGTTGGACTTCTGGTTTTCCCTAATCATTCCTTGGGCCCAATGGTTTCTAGGAAAGAGAGCTGAAGCAAAGGCAACTGAGTTTGTGTTGGTTAGCTTCTGACAGATGTTGGCCTAGAAACAAGGGGACCCAGGGCTAGGGTCCCATGCTGACTAGGGAATTCTGGGAGTTGAAGTCCACACACCTTAAAGTTGCCAAGGTTGAAAAACACCATCTATGACATAAAAACATCAGGAGGAGTCTGGTAGCCCCTTTTCAGATTAAGAAATGCCTTTTCATTAAGCTTTCATGAGCAGCAACTCAAATCAGTCATCAAATCAGTCAGGAGTAGAGCCCCAAAGTTACATAGCTCTTATACTGTACAGATGGTTGATGAAAGGCAATATGAGCATGCACTAGTGTTTCTCAATCTGGACAACTTTAAGATGTAGGGACCAACTCCCAGAATTCTCCAGCCAGCATTCTGGGTGCTGGTCCCTACATCTTAAAGTTGCCTAGGTTGAGAAACATTGGTATACCTTAATAGGTGAACCCAATTAGAGAAAGTATTGCTTTACAATTGATAAGGGTTCAAGATAACCTTAAGGGAGACACAGATATTATTTATGGTGTGAAGATATTAGAATACATTTTTGGAATGCAACATGCTTTGAGATATGAGATGTCAAGGCTCTGTTACTCAAACAAGCTGACCCTCTACTTTACTGAGGAAGGAGGGAGGGAAATAAGGAAACACAGCTGGACATATTCTTGAATCTCCTGCCTGCCCCGAGGCATGAATTTTATAGGCATTTAATCATAAATGGGGAACAAATTGGCACTTTACTAAGAAGTTCATTCTTAAGGGAGTTTGCAGAGAAATACATCTAATATATATATAAGCAATATTACATCTACATAGAAAGGAATGATTGAAAGATGGTATAATGAATTCATCCTAAATTCTTATTTCAATTCTCCATAGTTATGTGTCCAAAAAGTCAAAATAGCTTTGGAGTCATCCTTAAGAAACATTTCATGGTGAAAAAAGAACCCCAACTAGATGGCCTATACAACCAGGGGCAAATGTAATACACACAATGGATACAGATACAAATTATACATAACATTTCTCTAAGAGGCAAGACCTACAACATTAAACCTTCACTAAGCTATGTCAGATATAGATTTGCAGAAACATTTGGAATGGAATTCAGACTTCGTATTACTTAGACAGTGTACTCTCTGACTTCGGTCAACTCTTTAAAATAGGATGAAATCTGGACTTTTATGTTAGCAAAAGAGATATGGTTAGCTCACACTTTATGATGTGGGATTGGAAACCTTTCTCTTTAAACCCATCTTGAATAAGCCCTTCTGTTTTTTAAAACATTGTTAAATAATTACATAAAACACACATACCTGGCAGGAGCATGTTCCATTCCCCCAAATACCCTGAAAACAATGTCCTCTATTATTGCAAGGTGATGTTGCTCCACCTGGACATTCTGAAAATGATCAATCAGCGAAGTGTTGCTTACTGATTATCAGACTTGGTCCACAAAAGACATTATGATCTGAGTGTAGCACAATCCCATAGCTTTTTGGGAGCTCAGCCCTAGCCCCCATCTAGATAATTTTATCCAGACATACATAAAATAATGAAATAACATGAAATAATATTCTGACATAGTACAGTATATGTTATTCCCTGCAAACCAACTATAAATATGTACTCAGAAGTAAGTCCCACTGAGACTGACCAGCATATATACTGTATATACCCAAAGTATATACGATATAGCTTTAAAATTAGAGTCTATCCAACTGGCATTTAAATTCAGAGAGCAGGATCTGAAATTTAAAAACTCCTGTAATATGGTGCTCATTTGTTGATTTAATGCCTTTCTTAGCTATCTTTCAGACTTAGTGCAAAATGTACAATTCCACTGCTTAAATTTAAGCAATTTTAAGAGTAAACCAGTTAAAATAATCCAAAATGAAAGTTTAAATAACCAACAAAGAAAATATTTAATTACAACATTGGATTTTCCTTTTAAATTCAAAGGCAAAGGAAACAAATACGTTTGCAATCCTCTGTAGGATCTGACTTTATAACATCCAAGAAGAAAGTTCCTAAGGAAATGGCCATCATTGAAAAGCTGTTATTTGTAGAATAAGTTTTTATGTATAGGGTTTGTTTTTATAGCTTGACTTTTTAATTAATAAATAATGGTATTTATTTTTAATTGCTTGTGGGTTTTGTTTTAATTATGAGCCACCCAGAGTCACCCGTTG